TGACTCTTTTATCATTATTCATTCAGAAAAATGGCTTAGAATTATTTCTTGAAAATGATCTAAATTAAACCTCCCAAAAAAAGCCAGTGGCAGTTGGACAGAAGGTGGTCCCTAAAGCAGGTTTCCAGAGACAGAGAGCTTTGGCTAATGACAGGGTTCTAAACACACAGCGCCAAATTGCACTGCAAGGCAAACTCACTGTCCACTCAACACCAAAGGACAGAACCCGGGACGTGCCCTCTTCAGTGAACTTGCACAAAAAAGAACTTTACATTAAAGTCTGGTCATCATCAAGCTGCCACCAAACACAGCTGTTGTCACTGCCCCAGTACCTGCCCTCGAGGTGGCGATACTGAAGGAGATGAGAGCTGGCGCTTTAGTACTAGTGCTGGGTTTTACGGGAACGTCACTGATGATCCTTAGGGAACTACAGAATGTGCTCTCATATGATGGAGGGGCTCCTTCACAAATGCGAACTTCCTGTGGACCCCCCAGGGATGTCTACTTTTGGCCATCGCAGGAGAGGCCATGGAGCTCACTTGTTCCTGGAAAACAAATCCATCAGTGTTTGCTCCAACTGCAACTGTGTTAGTCAGCTTTCTATCACTGTGAGAAAACGCAGGAGCTAATCAACTTATAAATCAGAAAGGTTTTCTTTGGCGCAGAGTGCTAGAGGCTTCAATCCATGGTTGCTTGTCCCTGTTGCTCTAGCCTGTAGCAGGCAGATGTCAAGGGGGAAGCAACTGGTACAGGAAGCCTGTTCACCTCATGGTGGCCAGGAAGCAAAATGAGAGGAAAGGGAAGGACTTGTCCCATCAGGCCCCACAGGGATTTCAAGGATGTGCCCCCTGTGACTTTAACTTTCTCCTAGTACACCCTGCCTCCTAACAGCACCACAGGCTGGGACCAAGACTTCAACACATGGCCTCTGGGGGACACTCCAGGTCCAAACTATAGCAGCAACCCAGTGTTCTTGTCCTTGGTGCAAAATGACCCTCACTGGATGCGTGGGAGCAGATGTGAGTGATGGGGAGGCTTCTGACGCCAGCAGCATCTTGGGAAGCCCCATCCAGGTTCTCAGCTGGACAATTAATCAAGGAAAAGGTGACAGGTTTCTTTTAGATGGACAGTTTTTCCCTGATAACTTCAAAGCTGCCTGGACAGAAAAGAAACCCCCTCTGTTTCTAGATCCAGGAGAGTGCTGTTCACAGCTACTCATCAACTCGACCTTTCGAGAGGGTCATAAAACTGGTGATAAACAATCACAGAAAAAAAAAATCAAAACACTGGATTTCATCGTGCTAAAAACGCTTTTCATTCTACAGTGGAATTACCTGAACAAATACAAAAACTTTAGAAAACATACACATTCCTTGAAGCCAATCACGGTGAAAACAGGGTTAGGTACATGATGTGTACACACCTAAATATACCCAATGGGATCCAGAGAAACCCTTCAGAATTTTCCTATGTTTCTAAGACCTTCTCTCAAACTATGTAAGTTTACCTTAAGCACCAATTTAACATAATCCTTCCTACTCAAAACTGTGGTTCTTGGCTTTAATTACCAAAACTGCAAAGGGATACAATCTCCTTGTAACTTTCAAAACAAAAATCATCTCTAATATATTAACTAATTGTGAGCTAGTCTTAGAACACAAATTCAAAGAACACAAGGACAATGCAATATTTTTTCCCATGATGGGAACCTAAATTCTTACTGATGAACTTTGAAAAACTATAATTTTCAAATCCACTTGGGGTTGGGCATGGTGGTGCATGTCTGTAATCCCAACCACTTGGGAGGCCCAAGTCTTCAAGGCCACTCTTAAGCAATTTTAGCAAGATTCCATCTCAAAATTAAAGAATAAAAAGGGTCAGGAATGTAGCTCAGCAGGTAGGCAGAGCACACCTGAGTCAAACACCAGTAAACACCTCCCCCCAAAATAAAACTCATGTTGGGGAATGACACACATAAGGTACAATGAGATAAACTAAAAGAAACCTGCAGATTTAGACTAAATCCACTTACAGAACTAGCAAAGGAGCATTTGTTAACAAAATTTCTGCTTTTCTGCTTGCCTACTCATCTTCCTGATTCAAAAGGCTTTCCCAAGCGAAATTATTCTAAATGCATATGTTAAAAGAACCCTACTAAAAGCTTCCTAGAGAAACACAAAATCTCAGATTAGGAAACTGTCCTAACAGTTTGGACACCAGGCCTTTTTCAAATTCTTTTGGCATGTCTCATCAGAAGCTATGCATGCAGAGTGCACACCCCAATCCCACAGCACTGCTGGGCACCACGGAGCAACAAAGGGTGACCAAGAGAGTGACAGCTGTGGCAGCGGCTGCCAGGACAGCCAGGAAGACCCCGGTGCTTCTGCCTCGTGCAGTCCCCTCCCCCAGTGGGCCCTGGGTGGATGGGGGCAATACGCAGACTCCTGCAGAACCACAGTCTGACGTATGCCTTTCGCTCACTTGGATCCCTCACCGGGCAGGAGTGTCACTCTGGGAGGACACTCCTGTGCCCAACACTTGGCACTACCTTGCCAGGCTTGTGAATAAGCCACCTTAGAAGTGGACCCATTAGGTAACTGCAGCCCGGGAGAGATCCAGAATCAGACCCAGGCAGGCAAAGCCATTCCTGGGAACCTTGACCAGAGGAACTGTGCTGCTGTCTGACACTGCTGTGTGCCCTGTGTGCGGGGAGTCTGCTGGCGGCAGGTGACAGAGCAGCTCACCGCCCCTGTCAGCCTGCAGAAGGGACAGGCACAGAGATGCGGCTACATGGGCCTACAACGAGGAGCTCTGTGAGGTGCAAACAGCAATCCTTCAGGAAGAACCAAATGCTGTGCAGAAAGTACTTTAGAAGCCAGCAGTGTTCTTCCAAGTCATGGAACAAGGTTCTGTTTTGCTGAATAAAACCACAGCTAGCTGGATGTGGTGGCACACGCCTAGAGCCCCCAGCTGCTCAGAGGCTGAGCCCAGGAGTTCAAGGCCAGCCTGGGCCATAGAGTGAGACCCTAACTCTTCACCAAAAAAGTGGGGGAAGCATTTCTAGAACTTTCTATCACCTCCATTTTTAAAACCATGGTCTGCATGCCCCAGAGCTCCTGAGAGAACCTCTGGCCAATGTTTCAAATCCCTGCTCACTTGACAATGGACAGACGCAA